ACGAGAAAAATTGACAACACAACACAGATAGAAATGTTCGTCCGTGCGCCACGGGTCCATGGCGCCCGCATGCTCCGGTGCCATTGCTCCATCCGGCGCCGCTGTAGTCAGCCCGAGCAAAACGCCACTCGACCTGCTCCGTCCGTACACGCTCTCGTTGCTGTCCTTCCCAGTCCGTTCCTCGCTTTCTCCCTCATTGCACTCAAGGTTCTTGGTCTGAAAAAAATAAAAATTCTCGCGCCAAATGGTCAACCAGCCTAGTTCAGCTCGTCGCCACCTGCTCCCTCCTCCTTTGATGGCGAAGCCAGGTTACTGAGGCAATACAGCTCCCTCTAGCAAACCTAGGGCCGTGTAGTGCCCGTCCACCTTTCTGATGGTGTCTGCCTCCGCGCACAAAAATGAGATGGGCATCACTGCCTACGCCGACGGCCAGAAAGGCCCGCGCATCTACATTTTCCCGCCTGACCCCATCAGTGCCGACCCAACTCCACCACCACACGCACGCCTCGCGGCGGATGCGCAGCAGCAAGAAGGTTTCGGTCATCCCTTGAGGGTGAGTCTAGCCCTGCTCGCCAGAAAGACCCCCCCCTTCGCTACAACCCATGTCTAAGCAAAAGCTTGTCGAGGAGCGAGGGGAAGAAGGGAGAGTACCCTGTCTTTCAACCTGGTCAACAAGTACTCATATACCGACCACACCAGGGGATAGGTGGACCAAATCCGAAGCTGCTCTTACCGTGGCGAGGACCACATAGAATCTGCTCACAACTGTCGCCAGTTGTGTGAAGCGAGTCCAAGAAACACAAGAAATATCCGATTATCTTGCCCATCTAAAACAACAGCACCATGAAAGGGAAAAACCACCAGCACCATAGTTTGGAAAACTGGCGGAATATTTCCTTGGGAAACAATTTCCCTTACCTGCCCTGACAGCCAACGACGAAAATCAACCGAAAATTGAAAGATACATACGCCATACTGAAAGTGGTAGGGCAACGAAGCGGTCAAGGTCGAAACAGTCCGCACAACTATCGATATCACCTAAGACTGAAAGCATACGGTCGGTCTTGAATCAGATCTGATGTATCGTGCAGACGAAGTGCCGCAATGCCATGTTTTCCGCGTACAGATCAAAACATGATGTGGACATCGCGCCCGTCAAGAAATCGTCCGAAGTGACGCAGAAAAAAGGGAAACGAAAACGCGACGAAGGTAGGGATCCGAGCACAAACAAACGCGCAAAGCACAAAGCAAGGTCAAACACGTTGCGTACCAAGCCAGCAAAATGCGTGAACAAGGAAAGTACTCGGCGGAAAAGTAAACGAAGTCCGAAGGCAAACAAAAGCTACTTTTCTTAAATGTCTAAACGGTGAAGGGAATAGCATCCAAGTATAAATATGTACACCACCAACCACAACCACAACCATCATCGCTACCACCACCGACACAAACAATAACAACGACCCCAACAACAACGACACCAGTACAATCACCAATATAACAACGATAATATCAACAACAACGACGTTACAACGACTCATGCCTAAGAGGAACGGCAATGCGACCTGAGACGTCCACAAAAAAAAAACACGGAAGGGAACCAACCACCCGGCGCCGTCGCTCTCTGAGATCAAAAGTGGCGAGACACAAAAAAACCCTCGGGAAAATAGCGTGCACCGCCGGGGAATGTTGAACCAGTTGTCTGTATTGTATGGCATTTTTTTCGGGGAGGGAGGGTTCGCAATGAAAAAGGTGTTCGCACAGGGTACAAATTCTTGGACAGGATACCTCTACAACAGAAACCAGACGACGTCGGACAACTAAGAAACCAACACCGCCACGTTATCAGACTGGTGGGAAATACAGTGCTAGCTCGCAAACATTCACGGCTACACCCAAAGGCTCCCACCCTCACGAATCTCTCGGGCGAAGCCGGTGTGGTGATCTTGATCTATGCAACTCTTCCAAAAGCCCTGAACAGGTTTCCTTCGTCAGCCAGATCGTACCTGCCACGCCACTGCTGCGCTTAAATATATCCTTCTATTGACAACACGTGTTCTACTATATAATAATACAGAAGGCAAACCAATCAAAACCTGTCACGCTCTTTTCTGTGCCCCTCCCTCCCCCCAAGGCTTCGCTAGCACCGGTCCATCGGGGCAAGGGCGCTCGGCGCGCGCCCCTTCACCACCTGGTCGTAGGCGGGCGTCGCCATCTGGTCGTAGTCGGGTGGAACGGGCGCGGTGGTGGTAGCGTTCTGCTGGAACTGGAACTCCTGGTGGGAGGGCGGCACCGGCGATTGCCCCCCGACGTTGCAGGTGGATTTGCCCATCGACACCTGAGTCCACTGGCTATTGGGTCTCGGGCCGCACTCCAGCCAGCCCTGGCACCGACCGTAGTTCGTACTGTCCCAGGCGAACAGGTGACCTGCCACCTGCGACCGACGACGCCGTGCGGGACCGTTGGGTGTAGGTTGGAAAGCACCCGATTTGATGGGGTACGAAATACTTCCTCGCTTTCGCTCTCCAGCAGTGGTGCGTGTTTTCACTACATTTATTGATTTTTCGAAGGAGAAGCGATGGTGAAAGTGGCTCTAAACGGAC